TTCAGGGCTGACACATCGATTTTCTCGTGGTATCAATACCTGGTGAATCCTGAGCCTGCGATGACAAGGGGTCAGACACCTGAAGATAAAGAAGCACAAAAGCAGGCGCAGATTGTCATCCGGGTAAGAAATACAGAATTACCACCGTAAATCTGAATAGAGATTGAAATCGTCTTGGTAGTTATTAAACTTTTTTTTGGAAATGAATTTTTTTTTGTAGGATCTTCACCCTGAACACTTGATCAGTGAAAGTAAATTCCTCCGCTACGAATCACTGAATGAGCTAATAAAGGTTAGTCCACAATACACTGTGCTAACTATTTTGTTGTGATAGAATGTAAGTTTTGTCCACCTTTCCCTGTGTTGACTATTTTGTTGTGATAGGAAGGCTGTCTTGTTAAAAAAAGATTTCACAGAATAAGAATTATCACTATTTGTTTGTTAGTTTTTAACCATTTTATCTGTTGTACTAAGGTGCTAACATACACATCAAATCCCGACAACTACGAGTCCCAAGGTATCCAGTGTGACGAGGAATCGGCCGTGTTCTGCTTAGAGTTACTCATGCGAGTTGTTCTTCAAAATAGGTATCAATACTTGTAGAGTCAACGCACTTGTGAAACAACACATGCACAWTTTTACGTATATATAGCTATTGTCCGCACTTGTACACAGTGTCTCCGAAGAACACCGTGCTACTGTACGGCTTTGAAAATGCAGTGAGATTCAATATTGTGCGAACAAACATGGATATTTGTATGTTAAACAAATTCAAATTTGAAGGCACGAAATTGTAGAGAATGTAATTTTAGTCTGCATTCTATCTAACAATGTGTGGTTTTGTCCCTTCTGTACCCCACGATTCCCGTCATAGTTCCTATTTCAAGATGGCGGCTGTATAAGTGATATTGAATGTATGGTTGTCCAACCTTGATGGATATGTTTGTTTTGTAGGGACCGAGTATCGATATTGTGGCATACTATTAGAGATCATCTCTCCAATATAATTATAAACGCATCTCATCATAGGTAAGTTCTTACGTAAGTAATATTCGTTAGTGCGCTACGTAACGTTACAATAGTCCTTGCGAGACGAATTTCACAGGATATTGCAATAAGTTAAAAATCGAGCGAGTCAAACTATAAATGTACGTTACGTAGTGACGTTACGTATTACGCTACGTAGCTTTACGATAGTCCGAGTCTCACAGGATATTGAGCTATAAATTAAAATCCGGGCGATGCAAACTATCTATAAATGTTGGTTTACTGAAAGCCGTGAAACATAGTTTTATCGTTTGATCCCAATACATTTCCTGCGGGTGGTTTAATCTTGTTCAAAGTTATGTTTGATTTTCCATCTAACGACATCAAATAYCATCAGACAAAGCGGACGAACAGTTACCCAATATGTAGTCTAGTTATGTTAAGGCTTAACGTTATAATAAAGCCGTCAAACCGAAGAAAGCTCCTGCTAAATGACCACATTATTAGAAAGTACGTTGTGTCATGAAACGCTTCTCGCAATAGCAATCTTAACTCTACAAGTATAACACTCTTTTTCCCTTATTATTATTAGTTCATTAGTGGAGCGCTCGGTCGTCGGGCTCCTTCGTCTCGCCATTCGTCTCCTACGCAAAGAAGAGATCTCGTCCCAGGTCCTTACTACTCTACGCGTCCTTCTCATGATGAAGCATAGTGTSCTCATGTCTTGTGGACGTCAAATCTGCTTTGGTCTTCACGAGCTGTTACGTACTAACGCTTCCAGTATCACGTCCACAAGAGACTGGATAACAGTATTTACTCTTATTGAATGCGTAGGGGCAGCTGCTACACCGCCCACCGTTACACCCGGCTCGCCTACCATCGTCAAGGAATCGGACAGCGACTCGGCAATTGGAGAATCCGACGCGGCCTCCGAACGGTTATCGACTTGTGAAAGCGAAGTCGGATCATTTACTGCAATCGAAGCGGAATCGGGGAGTGAGATGTCTATGGCTGGGGATACATGGCTTTTGATTAATAAAGATGATTCCGATGATCTGCCGGCCAATCAGTACGACTTGACGGTCAGCGTACAACTTAATAAGCATGATAGTAAATGCTTTATTAAGTCGTGTCAAAGTTTGACTTTTTTGATTCGAGACTGTGCTCATGTMAGGAAAGAGAATTTCTTACATTGTATTCACGCYGTWCGGGTTTACGCTGAGGCGAGTTTGAACAGCGCTGCTGGTCTAAGACAAAATGAACAACAATTTAAGGACTCTAGCTCTGAACAAAAACCTGGTCGTACAAGTAAGAAGTCAAATAAATCCAAAAAGAGCCCCACAGGCATGACAAAACGTAAATCAACGCGCTCCGCAGGGAACAGCCCTACAAACAGCGAGGACGAAGTCGAGATATTCGAAACCATTAATAATGCTTATGATGCCATGTCACTTCAGTTAATCGAACTGATATACGCTCTACATACTCACGCTGCGAGCTTTTACGACAAGAATACGGTAGTTACACGAGACGCTGGCGAGAAAATCACCGCAAAGGTCGCTACACCGCCTAAACCAGTCGTAGARAGCCCACTCCCTGCGCATCATGTCCAGGTAGARGAACCCCCCGAAGCAGGCGTTCAGATGAGTTTTCTGTGGACMAAGTGTTGGTGTCCGTTATTACAGGGTATTGCAAGGCTRTGTTGTGATAACAGGAAGCAAGTMAGGATGTCGGCATTAACKTACCTACAGAGAGCYTTACTTGTTCACGATATGCAGACTTTGACTGCAGTTGAATGGGAATCATGCTTCAATAAGGTAACTATGAATATACTCTGGACATCACTAGACTGATAAAGAATGTTACATGGGCGCGCGGAGATACGGATTTTATCTTCAAGGGTTGAAAAGAACTCTCACAAATGAGCATAGCAAGCGACACGAATCTCCAATAGGCCATGTAATACTGTGTTCTCCAATAGGCCATGTAATACTCTGTGTTCTCCAATAGGCCATGTTATACTCTGTGTTCTCCAATAGCCCATGTAATACTCTGTTTATCATGCGACTCTAATTATACGTGCGCGCAGCAATTTATGTTTTAAACTCCTCCTTAACCTACGATATTTAAGTAAAGTGATCGCACTTAATCCGTGCAACTGTACAAACTAATAGTGATGTTTACTTGCATTTAGTAAATCGTGCATGTGATACGCAAATTGAATTGAATTGATACAAATGTGTTATTTTCACAACGAGAAATAGAATAGGCACGCTAAGTCCGTGAAACAAAAGTACTAATTACTAATTATAAAGAAATTAACCTAACTTATTACTAGATTGGTTTTCCGTCAACTATGAAAAGAAATAGACCAACTAGTTACTAGCAATAAGTAATAGACTAGTCAATATAACTTTTAGACATATAAACTATAAACGAATATCTAACAAACAACAGTTTGAATAAATTAAACGTTTAGTTTAATTAGTTACGCTAACAAAAACGACCATTAAAATAAAAAACTTGTTTTTGTGATGAATATGTTGATACCTATCAATCGGATACAATTCTACTCTAGACTAGACTATTAGTAATGGTCTATTACAAACTACTACTAACTATTAGACTTATTGTGCTTTCATGGTTGACGGAAAATCACTCTATTTTGTACCATTTCACTGTCAAGGATAAGGTCGTTTTTTTAACCATGCTTAATGTTCTTTCAGGTAATGTTTCCAATGTTGGCTCGTTTATTAGAAGTTCAAAGCGCAGGAGATCCCATTGGACTAGAAGAGACTCGTATGCGAGCTGCTACTTTACTTTGCAAGGTACACACAACTAAACGTTTCCGCCCTGCAATATTCACAAACGTCTTCTTTTCACTAGACACAAACATAAGCATAATCATAAACATAACGCGTGTTATCACCAGATATAAGCGCAAGGATAATCTTGAAACATCCACTCGACAGAAGCATGGGAATATTCCTTATTGCTGTGCTTATGTTTATCGTTATGCTTTTAAAAACATTTTTAAAAACATTTGCAATACTCCATTTTCGAATTCGAAGCCGAACAAACTCTGTTTTATTTGACAACAGATTCTCTTGTGCAAAGATCTCACAATAAAATAAAGAAGGAAAGCACGAGAAAATGTCGTTATTACAATAGCCTTGAAAATTTGCATTTTCTCCATAGAGTTGAGACTAACCCTGCATTCCCATGAGACCTAAGGGTTAAGCCTTCTGAGAATAAACGGTTAGCCTCAACTCGGGGAAAATATAAATTGTTAGCGCTATTGTAATTACAACATTTTTCTTTTGTGTTTGAGAATCCGTTATCGAATAAAACAGCGGTATTCTCTTTGAATTCGAAAATGGAGTATCGTTTGCTTTGTGTTACAAATCATTTGTTGTGGGAACGTTTCATATTTGTTCAAAATCAAAGATGGCGAATTTTCGTATATGTGAGAAAATCACGCGAACGTTCTTGGATGCACATTATTTGGTTAACTAACGGATGTTATATTATTTTGTTTTTAGGTTTTCTTGCAGCATCTGACTCCACTATTATCATTATCTACATTTACTGCTCTTTGGCTCACAATCCTGGACTTCATGGACAAATATATGCATGCGGACAAAAGTGATCTACTGGTAAGCAGACGGTTGTTGAAATGAAATAGAATTGATAGAAAAAGGTTATTCCAGGCGAAAGATCCTTGAAAATGAATTCGGAAAATTCCGACCTCGTAGCGATTTTGTTTTCTTTTTATGCGAGTTTTAGTTTCGTACAGTATAAGCTTTTTTAAAGTGCTACTTGCATGAAAATGGTCTTATTTCAAAACTTCAAGCAATACAAATATATAACTCATTTATATATATTAAAAACAATTGCGGGAAAATATTTGTTTTGGAATTATTCCACATCAGAGAAATTTTGATTCAAAAGATGGAAGAACAAAAGGATGGAGTAAATRACGTCATCAACTCCAACATTTTTTTCCCAAAATATTAAGGATTTGTATCAATATCTTGAAATCTGTTGCTTCATGATTATTAGACCCATATCGATAGGTCTATTTGATATCCAAGTCTTTTCTAATGTTTCGAAATTTTCGTCCAAGTAGCCCTCAATCTCGTACCCAGAGCCCGCACTTTTGCCATCCAGCGGATGTCAATGCGCGAGAGACTCTGGGGGAATGCGTTATTTCTCGATTCGTGATTGGTTGAAAATGACGCGAGCGCGCATTGTTTTCAARTCGGTTTTTCAAGTCGCCAGTGCGCGCTCGCCCTGTTAGTCAAGAAAATCATCCTTTTCTCGCATAACCACACGTGTTTTCACACATTTTTGTTTTTAAAAAGGTGTAAATACCTTTTCTTGACTAAGTTGTGTGCTAAACCTCCTTCTTTTTTTATCATTTTGATGCTCTAAAGCGGCAAAAACAAAATTGACCTAATTTGCATAATTTGCGACGGAAAAGCGTCGCAAATCCAGTCGATTCTTCCAGAGTCTTTCCGGCGTCAGCATACCGCTGACATTAGCCGAGAAGACTC